TATAGGATTTGCTGACTTCAATATCTCCAGCACCAAAATCAGTTCCTGGCACAGAAAATTTTGTTATCAGCTGCCATTGCGTCAGCTCTGATTCATAGTGACCTTATGTGTAACCGAATGGAGTGTTGCCCAGTCCTACACCATCACAAATTGGCTGCTGACTGGAATCACCTATGAAACATTAAAAATCCAACTGCACTCCAAAATAAGAAATATCTCATTATTAAATCAGTTTACCAAGAACATATTAATTTTCTCTAGGAGATGTAGGATATAAGACTTTCAAGCATGCTTATTCATTGCTATGTCAATCCTTGTTACATTTTTTTAATGTAGCTAAGAGTGTGGTTGTGAAAATTATTGGAATTCTTTAATAAACCTATTACTGGTTTGGAAAAATGTACTGGAAGAACCAACGTGTGTGTGTGTGCGCGCGCACCTGTGTGCATGTATGTGTGCTGGGTCATATTTTCCCTTCAGTCCGGAAGTTGAGGGGGTTTAAAACTCCTTGTACTATCTGTGCCTCTATTATTTTACTGTAGAAATGTGACATGCTAACTATAGGATCCACCACCTGTCTGTCAGTTTGTGGTACTGCGGTAGCTTCTGTGTTGCTATGATGCTAGAAGCTATGCCATCGGTATTGCAAATACCAGCAGGATCACCCATGGTGGATAGGCTTCATCAGGCTTTAGACTAAGACAGCTTAGGTACAAAAGCTTGGTAGTCCAAAAACTAGCCAATGAAAACCCTGTGGACCACACCAGAATATTATCTGATACAGGGTTAGACGGTGCAGAACTAGGCAATGTTTCCTTCTGTTGTACATGGGTCACCACGAGTCAGAGCTGATTCTATGCCAAGTAACAACAGCAGCAGCTATAGGATGGTGCCTGGGAAAATTTTACCACTTGACAACAGACCAGCATACGATTAAGAATTTTCAGAGGGAACTCATTTCACCTAAGAACTCTTTGTTTATGGATTTTTAATTTTGTGTGCCACTTTGCTCTATAAAGAAACATAATCATAATGTTCACCACTGTATTGTATATAAAACATAATATACTTAAAGAGGGAAAATGCCAATTAAATAAAATCGAACCAATTAAATAAAAATCTCAGGCATTCATAACTTTCCCCAAGCAATTCCAATGCACAAGCAAGTTTGAGAGCTACTGACATAAAAGGAACTCAGTAACATTTGTCGGATGGAAAGATGGATGGATGGATAGATGACTAAAAGGACTCTGGCCCCAGCACTGCCAGTAGGGAGGGTGCTGTGTGATCTCAAGCTGCGTTACTCGACTTTCCTGAGCATCCACTGTTGCACTAATGCTCCTAATGTCTCTTCCAGCTTCAGTTCATGGTTCCCCTTCTTGTTCATACTGAGGGCCCAGAGTGGAAGGGCTGGGAAAAGCCTGGGGCAAAATGATTGAAGCTCTATGAAAAAATTCATCTAGGATAAAGGTGATCCTAACAGGAGCTCTTTACTGTGGCACCCTATAGTACAACAAGTTTTTCTTTATATATGGCCTTTCTGGCCCTGGGTTTATAGTTCTGCCAAGATGCTTTGCTAGGCCACAATCTTGCAAAGGGATTGGACAGTTTACTATGCAAATAAGGTACATAAAACTCTTGTGGGGATTGATCAGTTTACTATGCAAATAGGGTGGGTAAAACCACCCAATAGGATTGAGTGACTTACTTATAGAAGCAGCCAACCCAACAGAGGTTTGGAGAGAGAGAAGAAAGAGCTGTAACACTGAAGACGCTGAGAGATGGCTGAGCCCAGTGACAGCGTGCCTGAGCAAAGGGTGAGCTGTCTTGGCTGGAGGCTGTCTTGATTGAAGAACTGTAACCTATCTTCTGAGTTGTACCCAGTTATTTCCAAGTTGATTCTGATCCCAAGTTATAACTTGTTACTTCCCCAACAAACCATTTAAGTCCAAGTATAGTTCCTGAGTTCTGTGAGATGCTGCAGTGAATTACTGAACCCAAAGACAGGAGGAAGAGTGCTGAGGGGAGGGAGAGTAGCTGGTATTAGAGATGATGGAGTGGTACAGTCACTTGGAGAAGCTGGATATTTGGGACATGTTTAACCCCTGCCTCGGACGAACCAGCTTTGTGCCAGTTCTTATTAAAGAAATTATTCATTTACACTCTTTTGTCCAGGAACTAGAAAGTCTTTGTGAAGCTCCCGAGAATCCTGCAGTTAGAAGAACGTCACATAGCTCTCCACTGGATGTACAAAAGAGGGACACAATGACTGATCCCTAACCCCCAAATATCCCACTAGGGAGACAGAACGCTTGTGGAGGACACCTGGGGCCAGGAGAGAGGGAGAGAGATGCATTTTTCTGACAGACTCCTCACAAACCTCCTCCTCTGTCCTTGTCTACGCAGGGGTTTCCACATCAAATATGAGCTGCTCAAGCTTTCTTGGCTGCTGCCATGGCTCTATTGTTGGGATCTTAAAAAAAAAAGCATGTTGTCAACTCAACTGCCACTGTCATCCTACAGAGACAGTAGAACAGGACAGTTTCTTACTGGGAAAGTCATGTTTATTGAAAACATTGCAAAGGCATTTACAACAGGGGACTCATGGTGTGAACTACCTCAGACCTATTATTCTCCAGGCCCTATTTCCCTGGGCTGCTTTATATACTATATAGCTATTTAGGCTTGCCTCCTATATGAGATTTTGCTATCTGTCTCTAGGCATCCACCCAACATTGGCTACAAATGATTATCACCTTCCATTTTCCCACTTCCTATAGCAACTCAGGCAAGAACAACACATTTGGGAAGTTAGGAGAATGAGCACCTTAGAAATTGAGTTTTATTGGCTTCACAAAGGATAAGAACAAGACGTCACACAACACAGGCTGGAAGGTTCCCGTTTCAACACCTTAACATGCGTAGTCGTATTTCCCATTCAAATTATTTTGAGAAGGAGCTCGCTGGCACATAGCTTTGTGTAATATTTGCTAACTATATTTAAAAAGGAAATGGCAAAGGTAGGGTTGCACAGCCTGTCATCTACAATCAATAAGCTGTACGTCTGTAAAAAGTGGAATTGGCAAAAGTTGTGTGACAGATATGTTTACAATAACAACAAGAGTGTCTGATGAGGCTGCTTATGTACAACCATAAACCTCATGGGATGTTGATTCCTTGGTTTGGAGGTTTAGGGTCCTGGTTTCATGGGACATCCCAGTTAATTGGCCTAATAATGTTTAGTGCTTCTGTTCTACCTCCTAGTTCGCTGAGTAGTGCCTGAGGCCTTAAACACTTGCAAGTGACCATCCAAGGCACAAAAATCGGTCTCTATTTGCCTGGAGCAACAGAGGGAGAAGAGAGTCAGGAACAGGAGAATATGGAATGTGTGGCTAATCACCTCCATGAACAACTGCACCTTTGCCATGAGACCAGAACCGGACGGTGCCTGGTTACCACTTTTGAACATTTTGGTAGAAGATTCTATAGAAGAATCCTGATTAAAAGGGGGGAAATGCAGAACACAATTTCAAATTCTCATGGACCCCAGAGTTTATGGAGCCATGGAAGGTAGACGAAACCCTGAAACTATTGCCATGAGATAGTCTTTAAACCTTACACCAAAAATATCCCCTTTAAGTCTTTTAAAAACAAACAATAGTTTAGCTTAACTAATAAAAAATGTCTGCCCTGAGCATTATATTCTTTGAAGAACTGTCTATATGGGATCAAATTGACAACAGCAACTTGAACGATTAGACAGGAACCTTAGAAGGCAGTGAGTTTATGTTAATGGGAGAGGAACAGCTCAAAAAAGAAGGGTGAGGATGGTTGCACATCTTGAAGAATGTAACCAACGTCACTGAATTGTAGACGTAGAAATGCTGGATTGGTGTACGTTTCGCTCTGTGTATTCTCAACAGCAACAACAAAATAAATCAAATTAAAAGAAAAGAAAAAGGAAATGGCATTTACGTGCTCTGGTTCCAGACAAACATGTGCTCTGTCAGAATAAACTCCAGGAGGAAAAGGTACAAATAATTTCTTCAAGGACATTTACTGAGTGTCTACTTTTTGAGACATTTGAGATGCAGAGAAGGGAAAAACAGCACAAATCCTCTGATGCCAAAGGGCTCCTAGCTGGGACTCCCTCACAACCCTCCCTCCCGCGCCCCCGTCACAGAGGAAAGGGTCTGTTCCATAGCTCAGGTTCTCTCAGAAGTCACCTCTTTCTTCATCTCTTAAAAAGAAAGGGCAGGAGAAGCCACTACGGGGCCTGGGGCTGGGGAGACAGCCTCTCAGAGCGGTCGTCCTCTGGGACGGCCGAGAGATGTCCCGGTTCCAGTTACGAGGGATGCGGCAGCCAAGATGGCGGAAGCACAGAAGGCCGCCCTCTCGGAGGTGTCGTCTCCCCAGGAGACCCAGACACCTGGGGTGGGGGGACATTATCCCAAACGAGACGAGGCCGGGACAAGCGGCCACTGGCTCGGGCACGGGGAGGACAGCGGGCGTTAAAGAATCCCTTCTCTGGGGCTCTGCTCGCTGGCCCCTGCATCGAGGAGTCTGCCCAAATGCTCGTCCGTCAGGGACACCCCGACTCCGAGCTAGAAGCGGCCCGGGTCTGGCCTCCCCAAGCTCTTCTCTGCCCCAACAGTCCGCCTCGCCGAGCGGACCTAACCTACCGGGGCATCTGACGGCTCCTGGCCCTGGGAGGAAGGCCGGAGCGGGGGCGGAGAGGCGCAGGGGCCGGAATGCCAATTCTTCCCAAGCCGCAGGAAGTATGCCCTTTCGTGAGGCGTCTCGGGCAGCCCAGGCGCGAAGTTCCAGCGGAACCTCGCTTCTCGCAGGCTCGGGGACAAGCGCTCCGCAACTCCGACCCGGGCCCAGCCTTGCCCCGAGCGCCCTCGCGCAGGCGCGTTCGCGCAGCGCCGCCAGCGCCCCAGCGCGCATGCTCTACCGGTCGCGGTGCTCCGGGCCCGCGGCGGCGGAGGAAGTTGGCGCTTTGCACTTCACCCCGGTAGCAGCTCCGCGGCCGGGGACAGCTTCCTTCGGTCCCTCCGCGGGCCTCGGTCCCGCCGCCCGCCAGCCTAGCTGGATCATGGGGTTCCCCAAGGGGCCAGAGGGCCAGGGTCTCCCGGAGGTAAGCCCCCCCCACGACGAGTCAAATTTCTTGGGAGAGGGCCGAGTCCCGCGGCGGCGGGCAGGAGGGAGCCCCGGGCTGCGTTTCGGGGAGCCCCGCCCCCTTCCTCAGGTGTGTTCGTGGCGGCGAGAGCCGGTCTCCCCGTTCGGGTGAGGAAGCAACGGGTGGGTGGGGACACACTCCAGCCGCTCCCGGTCTCCTGGGTCGGAGGTGGCTCGGGGCTCCCACCTCAGCTCTCCGGGGAAGTCATCCCCCGACTCGGCGCCGCGGGGCTCGGGGCTCCCACCTCAGCTCTCCGGGGAAGTCTTCCCCCCACTCGGCGCCGCGGGGCTCGGGGCTCCCGCCTCTCCGTGGAGGTCTTCCCCCCTCAACCCCCGGGGCCGCGGGGCTCGGGGCTCCCGCCTCTCCGTGGAGGTCTTCCCCCCTCAACCCCCGGGGCCGCGGGGCTCGGGGCTCCCGCCTCTCCGTGGAGGTCTTCCCCCCTCAACCCCCGGGGCCGCGGGGCTCGGGGCTCCCGCCTCTCCGTGGAGGTCTTCCCCCCTCAACCCCCGGGGCCGCGGGGCTCGGGGCTCCCGCCTCTCCGTGGAGGTCTTCCCCCCTCAACCCCCGGGGCCGCGGGGCTCGGGGCTCCCGCCTCTCCGTGGAAGTCTTCCCCCCTCAACCCCCGGGGCCGCGGGGCTCGTCCGGAGGGCCGAGGAGTCACGAGACGCGCGCGCTGGGACGTCTGGGCTCGGGTTCTGCAGGGGGCGGTGACCTTGTGGCTTGGCGCCTCCGCCTCTCGAGCCCGTGGGGTCCCAGGGCCAGCCCCACCGCCTTCTTGTCGGGAGGGAGTGCACGGTGCATTTACCCCCACCCGGATCCGGGCGATCTGAGGAAGTTTGGGAACTGTGAGCGCGCCGGGTTTGCGTCCGGCTGGCTTAGGGTTAGAGATGCGCTCTGCGCCCGGGAACTGAAGGCCAGGTGGAAACATGGCTGCTTCTGATAGTGGGGCTTCTCCAGAAGGGTTTGTTATTAACTATTCTCTCCGTCCAGGGGACGTGATAATCAGTGGTGTCCGGATTTCCGCCTTGGTTGGGATAGAGGAAAGTGCAAAGTGCTTTTCCTTTTGGCTGCAGATATCACTACGTAGACGGGTTGCATCTGTCTTCCCTTTCAATTAATTTGTTCAGAAGCCTATTTTACTAGATTCTTGAGAGAAACGGAATTCAAGGCTACACCTCCACTCTCCTCCAAAGGTTCTGAAGCAGGCGTTTGGTCAGGGGGTGGGGGTGTGTGGGGGCCTGATTACTTGACATGGTGAAAGGTAGTCCTTTCACACTTACCTGATTGTGGCTGGACGTGCCTCTCTGTGCTCTTCCCAAATCTTCAGGTCATTCATAAAACCAACCACTTCCTGTTGAGTGGATCCAACTCATGGTGACCCCGTTTGTGTCAGAGTAGAACTGTGCTCCGTAAGGTTTTCAATGGCTGATTTGTCTGAAGTCAGTCGCCAGGCCTTTCTTTCAAGGTGCATCTGTGTGGACTCAAACAGCATCACCCAGGGACTCCATTCATCCCATAAATACTAATTGAGGGATCACCATGTTTTGTGTGCAGAAGTGGTGATGCAGTGATGGAAGGATAGGCCTGTCTGTTGGTGTGTGATAGCAGAATGCAAGTCCGTTTTGCTGTTAAGAAAACCTAACAAATGTGCTGTTGTCAAAACACCCGCGTTAGGTAATACCTTACATGCACCTTGTCTTGATGGGATCTAGGATTATGAAGAATAGGATCTAAACGAATATTTGAAGTTCTTGTTTTAAGCCGTCATCAAGCTTTTGCCTGACCTTTTGCCTTAGACTCCTGTCTGGTCTCCCAGGTTCTACCTGAAATCCCTGCAGTCCAGCTTTCCACAGGGCTACCAGCTGGAGTCTTTCTAAAATGAAAAGCAGTCTGTTCCTGCCCTGCCCCTTACTTAACCTTTCACTGACTGTCAGGACGCTGCTTTTGATTTCCCACTGTTTTCCGAGAGCCTAAGACAGCTCCTGGCAATTAGGATACATTCAAGATGACTATAATTAAATTATTATTTTTTAGTTCAAAGACCAGTACGTATGAATATGGATGATCTGTGTCATTAAGCTGTCATTAGTCCAGTTAATTCATTACATTCAATTTCTTTAACCCTTTACTGTGAGTATGTGAAGGATGGAAAGAAAGCTAGACCAGGCCTTGCCTTTCAGCTTACATGAACTATAGTAGAGGGCAATTGAGAATTTACTGTGCCTGGTTTAAGAGCTCACAGTCATTTGTCTTTATCAGAATTTTAGTTTTAACAATCTGTATTAACTAGTCTAGTGGCTTTTTATGGCTTCAAGAGGAGTCATTCTTTCATTCCCTGTGTGTTAGCCAGTGCTCCTTTTCCATTTTGTTTCAGTGTTCATCTGTGAAGTGAATTTGGAACCTTATTAATGTTCTCCATTCAGTGTCATATGCCAGAAAGTTGTTTCACAGATTATATTGCAAAAGTAAACTTCCCCATTCAGGGGGCAAGTGAACAAGAAGCATGCGCAGTGCCCCACTATGGGTAGACAGTGGGTGCTCACTAGATACGAGCTGAGGACAGGGATGATGCTTCCATGACGTTGTCAGCCACTCCCTTTTGGAAACGTTTTCATGGTAAATCATGACGGAACAAATGTAGACTTCTTGTTTTCTGTCCCAAAAGTTTTAAGAAAATAATCATATCGTACCATTTTCCTCTTTTACATTATCTTTGTGAATCATAACTGTTCTTTCTTTTGCTTAAGTTGCTTCACTTATAAAGGTTTCTCAACCATCTCAGATCTTTTGCAGAAGACAAAGTGTGAATAATCAGTGTTACTTTCTTTATTTCTGCATGTCCACTGGGAACAAGTGGTTGCAAACCTTCAGAATCTTTGATAGGCTAGAACAGGGTCATATGAGAGAGAGAGAGAGAGAAATAAAAGCAGCAATTGCTTAAGGCTCTCATCCCCCCCTCTCCATCTGAAGGGATTATCAGTCACTGTAATAATTCCGTGTTCTACTATGTATTAATATATGTATGCTCCCTCTCTTCACAGTTTGTACCTCAAAATAAACGTCACTTTCCATTGTCAGTGCCATGACTGTGAAAACAGTTATTCCATGGCTGGCTTAGGTACTGTATGAAATGAGTTGAGTACATGATTACAATACAAGTGTTTCCCTTGGCCTAATGCTGTTTAGGTGCAGAGGAGTAAATGGGGTGTATAGTATAGGGCTCCTCTCCTGAACCAGCCTGTAGTTCAGTTGGAAAGACAGCCTTATATGGCATACCAGCCATGTCACTCAAAAGAGGCTGATACTTAACTGTGTGAGTGATAAGGACTATAAATAAATTTAGACTTCTGGGCAACATGGTGCTATAGTCAGAAGCACCACGCCGTCCCTTCCCAGCAAAGATCAGAAAAACTGTCAAACAGAGTCACACATCAATCCTGAAACCCTAAGCATCAAATGAAGAGATAAAGCACTCAGCCAAGCACCCAATGGAATAAGAGAACAGAGAGCAAGGAGAGATACATGCAGAGGTCTCCTATCAGCTACTGCAGCGTGGATCCGCCATCTTGGACTCCTATCAGAGATTAGCAAACATGGGGTATGAGAAAGCAGCTTCATGGAGCTTCCAGCAGGAGACAGAACAACCAGTAACCAGCGATAAGGCTTTCCCACCCTCCACCCTTCTTCACTGTTACTTAGCCGCCTCTGCTTCCTGCAGCCACAGTCTCTTTCTCTTCTTTCTCTCAAATACCTGGCTCTGCATACCATCTTTGCTTCTTCCTGAAAGGCTGCAAAACACCGCTGGACTATGAAACTGCTTCCCAGCCTGTGCCGCCATGCTGGTGGGACCCCTGGGGCTTTTTTGTTTTTCGTTTGCTCTGTTTTGATTAGTTTGTTTGTTTTCTTTTTCTTTTCTTGGCTTGGGAGCCACTTCTGGCCGGGCAGTACTGCGCAGCTTGGAATCTACTCCCTTACTCTGCGCAGACGCACAGGGACATCACTGGGGGCATTTTCTTTCTTCTTCTTTTTTTTTTATTTGTTTCTTTGTTTTGTTTTCTTCTCTCTTATTCCTCTTTGGTCCCATTTCCAGTTTCTCGATTTATTCATTTTTTTTCTTTTACTGTTTTTTTTTTTTTTTCATTTTTGTTTTTTCCATTTCTCAGTCTCTCATCTCTCCACTCCGATAGCAAGCTCCCTTAGCACTCTTTTTTGTTTACGTGTATGTTATTGGCTCCGGTTCCTCTCTCCTCACTCTCATCTTTCCCATACCCATCTTAGCCCCACACATCACAATCTACCCCCTCTTTCCTGCCTACCTGCACCGTGTGCTGAGCATCACACTTCCAAACAGCACAGGCGCAGCCTACTGGAACCTGCCCTGCACTGATTCCCGGTCTGCAGTGTCAGCCCTGGTACGTGCCACAAACAGCCCATCCCAGCAACTCCGCTTCACCTGGACCTGCCCTGCTGTACCATACCTGAGTGACTGACCCCGTCCATTGGAGAAGGAGATGAAAAGTATTGTGCCCACAGATGAGCAAACAACAAAGAGTGCACAGCCTGCCTGCTCAGACAGAACCAAATAAAACAAAAAAGCAGGATGAAACAAACAAATCTACAATCAATAAATGAGGAAAATAATCACTGAATGCCCCAAAGATAGCAGACAATATCAAAACATTTACAAAAACAGGACAGGATGGTTCCAGTAGACACCCAAAATAAAACATCAGATGACCTTCCAGTAGAAGAAAAGGCACTAGACCTAGCTTATAGGGAATTCAAATCTCTAATATTCAGAATTATCCAAGAGTTGAAGCAAAAAGCAGACAAAAATAAGGAAAAAATAGACAGATTCATGGAAAAGGCAGACAAATTCATGGAAAATACAGACACAAATGGAAGAATTCAGGAAAATAATACAGGGACAAAATGCTAAAATAAATTCACAACTAGAAATCATGCAAAAACAACAGAAGTCCAAAAGATAATAAGATTTCAGAAATGGACAGTGTCATAGAAGGGCTGAGGAGTAGGTTTGAAATGATGGAAGACAGGATCAGTGAAATTGAAGACAAACACTCGGATACAACTCTGAGGAAAAATCAGAAAAAAGAACGAAGAAAAATGAAGAAACTCTGAGAATTATGTGGGATACAATCAAAAACAGAAATCTGCGAGTGATCGGAGTACCAGAATGGGCAGAAAGCAGAAAACACAGAAAGGATCATTGAAGAATTGCTGGCAGAAAACTTCCCCAATATCATGAAAGATGAAAAGCTCACCATCCAAAAACCTCAACACCCCATATAGGATAGAGCCCAAAAGAAAATCACCAAGGCATATCATAATCACATTCACTAAAACCAAAGACAAACAAAGAATCCTGAGAGCAGCTCAAGAAAAACAAAAAGTCATTTGCAGAGGAGAAACAATAAGACTAAGCTCGGATTATTTGGCAGAAACCACGCAGGCAAGAAGGCAATGGGATGACATATATAAAACCTTGAAAGAAAAAAATTACCAGCCAAGAATAATAGATCCTGCAAAACTCTCGTTCAAATATGATGGTGAAATTAGGTTATTTCCAGATAAACAGAAATTAAGGGACTATGTAAAAACCAAACCAAACTTACAAGACTTATTAAAGGGAGTCCTTCGATCTGAGAAAAAACATCAGACCACAGGCTGAATATAGGACACAGGATTGTACTATCCAGCTACCAACCTAGGAAATGAACTCTTAAGGACTATCCAAAACCAAAAGAATTGCATCAGGGAACCAGAGAGGTTAATCTGTAAATGACAACAGCATCAGAACAACGAAAGAGGGAATAAATGGTGTAGATATAGAACTTGTTAATGGAGAGGAGGGCAAGGCGATACTAAGTAATAATAGACTGGTTCAAATCTAGGAAGAGAAGGGTAAATTTCAAGGTAACCACAAAGAAAGTTAACAAACCTACACATCAAAGTAAAGAAGAAAAACATAAAGTCTCAGTAAAAACAAAACCTACAAAAACAAATGAAAAAAAAAATCCACAAACAAAAGGAACTCAGCACAGGAGAGTAATAGGAACAAAGAAAACATCAGCACCACAAAAAAAAGCACTGCAAAATGCAATCCCATTCCTAGGAATATATCCTAGAGAAATAAGAGCCGTCACACGAATAGACATATGCACACCTATATTCACTGCAGCACAGTTCACAATAGCAAAAAGATGGAAACAACCTAGATGCCCATCAACAGATGAATGGATAAACAGACTATGGTGTATACACACAAAGGAGTATTATGCAAAGAAAAAGAACAATGATGAATCTGTGAAGCATCTCATAACATGGATGAAACTGGAGGACATTATGCTGAGTGAAATAAGTCAGTCACATAAGGACAAATATTGCGAGATCTCTACTGTAAAAACTCATGTAAAAGTTTACACACAAAAAGAAACAATCTTTTTTGGTTACAAGGGATGGGGGGAACTAAATAGACAGTAGATACGTGGTAACTTGGGTGAATGGTAAGACAGTACCCAGTACTGGGGAAGCCAGTACAACTTGTACAAGGAAAGGTCAAGGAAGCTCCATAGGCACTTCCAAACTCCCTGAGGGACTGATTTGCTGGGCGGAGGGCTATGGGGACCATGGTCTCAGGGAACATTTAGCTCAATTGGCATAACATAGTTTATAAAGACAATGTTCTACATTCTACCTTGGTGAGTAGTGTCTGGGGTCTTAAAAGTCTGTGAACAGCCATCTAAGATACTCCACTGGTCTCAACCCTTCGGGAGCAAGGGAGAATGAAGAGAACAAGATACAAGGAAAAGATTAGTCCAAATGAAGTAATAGACCACAGCTGCCCATGGCCTCCACCAGACTGAGTCCAGTACAGCTAGATGGTGCCTGGCTACCACCACTGACTGCTCTGACTGGGATCACAATAGAGGGTCCTGGACAGAGCTGGAAAAGGATGTAGAACAAGATCCTAACTTACAAAAAAAAGACCAGATTTACTGGCCTAAAGGAGACTGGAGAAACCCCGAGAGTATGGCCCCTGGACACCCTTTTAGCTCTGTGGCCAAGGTCGAGAAGGGAGTGTTGACATGTCTTGGGGTTGTTAACCAGGGTCATAAAACAATATGTGTACTGTTTAATGAGAAGCTATTCTGTAAACCTTCATCTAAAGTACAATAAAAAAAATTAACAAATTTTAAAAAATGCAGAGGAATTTCCATTTCAGGCTGATTTGTCAAGGGTGGCATTGCATAGGAGCTAAAGTTTGAAGGTGGTTTCTGGAAGGTTAGAGAAAAGCAGGAGAAGGGACTGGTGTGGACAGTGAGGAAATGGGAGTAGGCACTGCCTGCCTACTTTGGCCAGAGCCAAGTGTGAATTGTTTTGAGGGGAAGATAAAGGATGAAGCTGAAAAGACAGGTTGGGGCCAAAGAACTGAATGTCAGACCAGGAAATTTGGAATTTGTCTTATAGACAGTATGGATGCATTGAAGTGATCGCTCAGGATGAGCTAAAGAATGATAAAATGAAAGCTGTGATTTAGGAAGCAGCGAGCAAGACAGGTTAACAGGGTAAGAAGGATTGAGAGGCACTTGCAATAATCCTGGCATGAAGCATGAATTAAAGGTAAGGGAAGGTAAATGTGAGATGCATAGTGGTGTCGGGGGTACCCAAGACCCTCCTCACATTCAGTGATTGTCTAGAAAGACTCTCAGAACTCAGAAAAGCTGTTATACTCACGGTTATAGTTAATTACAACAACAACAACAAAGTACAGATTAAAATCAGCAAAGGACAGAGCACACAGAACAAAGTCCAGGAGAGACCAGGCACAAGCCTCTTACTGTCCTCTCCCAGTGGTGTCGAATGGACAGCACTTCATTCTCCCAGCAGTGGTGTGTGACAGTGTGTGCCGAGTGCTGTCAACCAAGGAAGCTCACTCAAGCCTGAGTGTCCAGGATTTTCACTGGGGGTCAGTGAGAGACATGCAGTGCTTTCATGACTGACCTTAGCTGCTCAGGCCCCCACCCCTACTAGGGGCCAAACTGCTACAGTGTACCCGAAGTCCCTAGGCAAACAAAACAGGCATCTACCAAAAATCACATTGTTAGCGTAAAGTGTATGGCAGGGCCCAAGGTCTCAGGTGTACAGAGACATTCTTAGCAGGGAGAGTATTCCAGGGGCTCAAAGTTATCTCCCAGGAGCCTGCCAAGGGCCAGTCTTGAAGACCTTTAGAATGTACAGGGTTTGGGCAACCCCACACTTGCTGAGCTAACCCTTTACCGTGTGATAATAAAGAAAGATTTAACAGGTATCATTGAATAAGAGAGTAGTCAGAGAAGGGTATGAGAATTTGAACCAGGATGCTCTAGTTTCTGGTTTTTCTGCAGTAATAGGAGAGAGGAATGGTACAGTTAACAAAAATAAATAGATTGAAAAGCACTGGGATGTTTAAACAGATTTAAGTAGTAGGTAAACGTGATGAAGGGAGGATATAAATTACAGTTTTTTAAATCAAATCCCAATTTAAATACATTAGGAGAATTCATTATTGAAGACAATTCTAGTGTGTGGCAGTAACTACCCTTTAATATATCAGATTCAAAGTCTGCCTTATACTTTGATGTCAGAACGGAAATACAGAGAGGTATTGAATTCTCTTTGTTCTTGCCCCTCTTGTCAGTAACATCTGGGACCAGGATGAGCACAGAGTTTTAAAGAAAACCTTGTGCTTGTCTGCAGGGAGCTTATAATCTAGCCGAGAAGCCTGCCAAGTGAAACAAGTACTAGAGAACAGGGAGGTGATACGCTGCAATCTTCCTGCTCCCTGGATTCCTCCAGCACCTGATGAATACCTATGTACTGCCTGGTGTGTCTCCCCCCCACCTGTGGTGACTCCCAGCTCTCTGATAACTGGGACCCTGTTCTCTGTGACTCAGGCGACACTGTGTCCACATGGGACAGTGAGATAGTGGCATCGGGGGATCTGCCTGTGTTCCCTTATACAAGGTAGCTTTTACGAGCTACACTTTTGTTTTGTTTTAGGTGGAAACACGAGAAGACGAAGAACAAAATGTCAAGCTGACTGAAATTCTGGAGCTGTTGGTTGCAGCGGGGTACTTCAGGGCACGAATTAAAGGCTTGTCACCTTTTGACAAGGTAGAAGAAGCCCTTCTAACCAGCAGGCTGATTTCTGTTAGGAGTGCATGATTAGCCATGGTCGGGAAAGAAAGGAGAGATTGGTTTTTACTTTCTCTGTCTCCATGCTTCCATTTCTTCCTAACTCAGACTCCTTAGGAAAATGTTCACATTTCCTATTAAAAGAAAATGATAATTCATCAGTAGCTATGCACTGGATTCCTTTTCTGTGCACGAAGCTGTAGGAAATGCAAAGAAACAAAAGACATAGTTCTTCCTTTCAAAGAACTGACAGTTTAGGCGAAGAGAGAAAATTTATCTAAAACCTGAGTTAATAAGAGCTATGAATTGGAATTGATGGCAACAGGTTTGGTTTGGTTTTATCCCAAGTTGGCATGCATACAAACAATTGCCAGATAGTCTGTGGATAGTCAGTGCCCTGAGTTTAAAAGAGGGAGAAGTCAAATGGGAAGAAGTCTTAATTCCGTGGAACCTTGAACAGTTATTGCACACGAGGTATTGTAATAGGTGCTGAGGGCACAGAGGTATGACACAGGCCTTGCCCTCAAAGAGCACTACGTTTCTAGAGCAGACGGGAGGAACGAGCAAACCAGCAGGAATAGAATAAACAGCACAGTGCGGTAAGCGCGCTGGTGCAGCTAGATAGGAGGCATCCAAATCAGCCAGAGTGGGCGGAAGAGCTTCCTGGTGGAAGAAAGTGCTGGGTGCTCCAGTGGGTCACAGTCCTGGCTGTGCAGAACAGTTGCCCTGGGTTGTTATGTAATACAGATGTGCAGGCCTCACCCATTGAAACTTTGGTTACTCAGATCTTGGCTGAGACCCTGGAATCTGTGTTTTATTAAGAACCTCACGTGAGCCTTAAATCTCAGCCAGGCAGAAGATTTCACTGTTGATTTTTCTAATATCAAGCTGCATCTGAAAAGGATTTTGTTTCAAAATGGATTCTTAGCCTCCTTTGCATCCCAGAGAAATCCTATGAGATAAGTAGAGTGGGATTCTCATCTCCCTTAGCAGATGAAAAAAATAAGGCATGCGGAAATAAAGTAATGAGCTTCAAAATCAGCTGTGCCCCCACATGCCCACTCAGTGGAACACGCGCCTGGCAGTTCCTCTGGAATCTGGCACTTGCCTAAACTGGGTTAAGACTTTTCTCAGCTGAGTTCTAATGTTCTGTCTCCTTCACTATAAATGTGACATGTCCGTTTAATAACAATACTTAGAGACTTTGGGGAATCATGTGTTTAGTGTGTGTGAGGAGGGAAAGGAGAAAAAAAAAAAAATGAATTACCATAAAACAGTTAGGCCCTGGGTCGGCGAGACCTGAGTTGGAATAGTCTGTCCCTTCTTACCAGCTGTATAACCTTTGGCAAGATGCTCAGCCCCTTGAGAGTTTTCTTCGTCTGTGAAAAGGAAATAACAATGCCTACCTTTTACTCTTCCTGAAGGTTCAGATACCAAACAGCCGGTGAGCTGTCCGACACCATTAACCCCCCTTCTGTGGCTGCTCTTCCTCCTGTCCCGTTCCTCACTTCCCTCAGCGTTCATAGCGGGCGCAGAGGAAATCCCAGATAAACCAGTGCTCACGTCTACACGGGTTTTAGAAAGTGACAGTTTCTGTCTGCGCTGTCCGCTGTGGTAGCCGTGTGAAGTAATGAAAATTACACTAAGTTAGAAGTCAGCTTCTCAGTCACATCACCATACTTCAAGGGCTCAGAAGCCACACGTGGCTAGTAGCTACTGCCTCGGACAGAGTGGATATAGAACACTTCTGTCACTGCAGAAAGTCTTACTGGACAGCTGTAGTTTAGGTGAACTGTAGTTGAGGAGGTAAGGATACATGCAGTCACTGTCTTTACAGATACATGATTTTGTACATTTACTGAGTTTGAAAGAACTATTTGTAATTAACCTACGTTCCACTTCTTCCCCTGCCCAGAACCAGAAAGGAGGAACAGGTGTTTTCTTTGTGTCTTGCAGGTAGTAGGTGGAATGACTTGGTGCATCACCACTTGCAGCTTTGACGTGGATGTTGATTTGCTCTTTCAGGAAAACTCTACAATAGGTCAAAAAATGTAAGTTATTGGGGTTTGCCATGGAGGGGCCTAAAGGGGGAGAAGGAGGCTAACTTTCGAGTGTTCACTGTGTGCCAGAAGTTGTGCTACATGCTTTCCATATTTTATTTTAATTTTAATGATAATAGGTGTCATCCCAGTTTTACAGATGATGAAACTGAAGCTGAAGGCAGCCAGGGTCACACAGCTAGCATCCAAGAGTCACTGAAGGTGCAGGCTATTCCTCGGGCTTTTTCTTGGTCAGAGTTTCTAGTGCCTGTTTGTCTCTGTCCAAAGACAGCAAATTTGGGTGGAAGTTGAATTGAGGAGGAAAGGAGAATCTTTTCCTCCCTGTTGCTCCTCTGCCATCAGGAGATGGCAGCATGGGCCCCTGCTGAAGATTTTACTGGAGGGACTTGGCAACATCATTAGACTACTCAGGACACTCAGCTTTGCGGTGTGACCGAGGGCAGGCCACGCCCTTCTCTGGGCCTCAGTGTCTTCATCTGTAATTGGAGGGATTTGTAACCTCAGATCTGTACAATTCTGTGACTTGTTTTATTTTTTTATTTTTCTGACTCATTACCCTCCTCCAAGAAGAACCCCGTTCAGAAGAGTTAAAGACGGTTTGTAAATGTGCGCGTGAAGCTCTAAAACAACTGCTTGCGTAGCGGCAGAAAGGTGAAGCCGAGGGCGAAAGTAGGAACAGAGGCAGAGTTAGGGGTGAAGCTCTGCCCGTGGAGCACACTTGCCTCTGGAGAACCTGGGAGACCGTCTTCTATACAGGCCCCACTGGGGCTTGCTCTCCTTCCTGATCCTTCTTTCCTAAGGGTTCCATGGGTTTCTGTCCCCTACCCCCAACCAGTCCTAAAGCCCCATTACCAGAGAGTCCCATGCTCAGAGGTCCGTAAAGGAGATTTTAGGCTCATAACTGAGTTCATCAACAGCACACATTTATGAGGCATCTGTGTTCAGAGCACTTGCACATCCATTTTATTATTTAAACTTCACAACAGCCTTTGAATAGGCAGGACAGAGATGGCTCTCATTTTATGATGGGATATTGGACCAGAGAGAAGGGGTGACTTGCCAAAGTCCCAGAGTGGGTGATAGAGCTGGGACTTAGACCCAGGTTTAATTCCTTCTCTTTCAGGCTGATAGCAGTGGAGGAGGAAACTCAACTGAAGACCCTTAAAAACTAAAGGAATGAAACCAGTGACCGGTAACGACAAGTGGTCGTGCTCAAATCTTAGGCTAGGAAATCTGCCTGGTGACGTCTGCAATTGTCACTTTCCTTGATTTTTAGAAAGTGAGAGGATCCACCCTCCATTCACCGACTGGAGGCTGGTGGGCTTCTGTAGGAAACCTTGCTTACTTTCTTCTCCTGCCCCCAGCCTGTCTGTGTCCCGGCCGCCCCCGGCGGTGTTAGTGCCTTCAGCTGCTTCCGTACGCCACTGAGACTGTCCAGACTTGCCAGTTATTTCTGGGAGATGAGTAGGGACTGTAAACCCTGAGATGACACAAACATCCTTCCCTCTGGGCCTTTATGAACTGGACAAGTCGGTTGTCTCTGAGCAGTGGCCAGGGAGAAGAGTCTTGTCTGAAGGCAGGGGGCTGGACTCGTGGTGGTGTGGGTGCAGACTGATAAATCTGTAGCCACTAGAGGGAGCTTTCCTCCTGCTCAACCACAGTGTAACTCAGAGCAGGGCCAACAAGCACCCCTTTCTTGGCGTCACAAGGCAGTGAAATTAAGAAACAAGGCATGGGAGTCTGATGAAAGTCAAAATAAAAAAATAAGCCTATCAGACAGAAACGTTGCCAGATGGGTTTGCTAATATTTCCCTACCCCACTCCTGTTCCAGCTGCAGGCAGAGCTGGCCAACCATAGGCTTTTCCCAGGGCAGGCTGTGTCGGTCAGAGAAGATGCACGTGTCTAGAAGACAGGCTGCTCGGAAGGGAGGAACCTTCTTCCTCTTAGACCCTTTGGATAAATCACACCCCCTTCTGTCCGGGGAGGAAAAGGCAGAAAGTGTTCTTATATGCTTCCTTCCTTGCAAGTGGATGTTCTCTCATGTCTGTAATGTGTGCCGTGGGGTTTAAGTCTTTTTCTCTGAACACAACTGAACTTAATGTTTGATTTATGATCTGTGGGAGTGAGGTGTAACTGTTTCCTTCAGCAGTTTTAACCTTGGTCCCACCTTGTGAAGCTACTTTTCAGGTGCTGAACACTGATTCTTAGAGTATTCACAGGGGACCATCCTTTGGGGGCTGTTTAGCTTTTGTTTTGCCCCCAGTAAGGCTAAGGGGATGAGCCCGACTAAGAGAAAGACAGCTCAGATGGTAGTAGCTCTTCCAGGCCCGAGTGAGACGTCAGTCTGAAGGGTGTCTGTCTCCTGCGTCGTTGCTGTTAGTTGTTGTCCAGTCGATTCCGACTCATGGCAGCCCTTTGTGTGCAGGGTCAAACGGCTCCAGTGGGTTTTAAGGCTGTGACCTGTCGGAAGCAGATCACCAGGCCTGTCTTCTGAGGTACCTTTGGGTGGGTTTGAACTGCCAACGTTTTGGCTATTAGTTAAGCACTTAGCTGTTTGCACCACCCAGGGACTCCTGTCTCCTGGGTAGGATTACTTAACTCCAGAAAGATAAAGGTGGACCAGATTTGTTTCAACAGGGAACATTTTTGGTAGACCCAAAACTTGTTGAATTCATCTGTCTCGCTATGAGAGACCTCTCAAGATAAATGCTAGAGAAGTACGTTGGAACATTCAAAAGCTAAGGCAAGACTGAGTGTGTCTCCAGCTTGGCCCCCTAGGGCATAGGTTTCAGGAGCCTGGACAACAGCTTCAACATGGGAGTTGGCTCGGGATGAATCTCCTGCATAACCCTGCCAGGCTGTGCAGGGTATGGTAGTTCAAGGTCATCTGTGGTTACCTACCCACCAGAAACCACATGGCCTCCTGGTAAGACCTATGCGGCCCCTTGTTCACCAGGGCCTTCATCTATTAGAATATCATCCTGCATTTGTAAACAAGGCCACAGGTAGCTGCTGTGAATCGCTAAGGTTTAAAAAGAGTCTGGAGTAGGGGTGTAACCTAAATTGTCCGTGTGGCTGACCCAGAAACCCTCATTTCTCCACATGGCCCCTCAAGGCCGTTCCTAACCATTGTTTCTCAAGGCTTCCAGTCTGTGTACCATAGCTCTGGGACTTAGGAGACCCACTAAATAGCAAATCTCTTCTCTCCACTTGAATCTGATCCAATTAAAGATACAAGAAACAGGAGTCAGACAGGTGGAGACCAGATATCAGCTGATGAGAGACGGAAGCTTACATCTGCAGTGAAACAGATCTGCACACAAGTTCCTCCACCACTCCTGCTATAAAACTAGCCCACCCAGTCCCAGACTGAGCTGAAAAAGCTCCCCAGCTGGGGAGGGTGCCTGCCTCTTGACCTGGAAGTATGCTGTGGACTTCAGGGAGCCCGGTTCCCCCTTCTCCCAAACTCAGCCATCTCGTAGGAGAACTGAGGTGAGGCACTGGAGAGAAAGCAGACTGTATGATTATTTATCTGTTTCTCCCGTCAGACTGTAAAATTTCTCTTCTCTGAGGAAATAAGAGTGAGGATACATTGGTCCTCAAAATCTAGGATTGATTTTAGACTATATTAAAAACAGGAAAAAAAAACAAAACAAAACTAAAGCCTACAAGTTATTTTAAAAATGTTTTTGTACCCAGAGTAGAAAACTCCAAATTTCTTCTGGGCACGCGGCCCTGGGTCTCCTGGAGGAGGATTGTGTGTCCCTTCCAGTGTGCTTGTCTCCGCCGGTGTGACCTCTGGTCTTGGCGGTTGTCAGCGGGTCGCGGTTGTTTCTTTGCCTGTCTCTTCTGCTCTGCTGTGAGCTCTAGGGGTTAATTGTCTTCATATTCTGGGCACTTATCTCAGGGTATGGTAATTACTTGTTAGCTGAGTAATGTTTACAGTGTTTTTTTCAACGCCTAACCTAGTGGTTCCCAGAGTTTTGGGAAAAGTAGGTCAGTAAAATGAAATGTAAAAGAATTCAGGGCATTGAGAACTTTTTATTTTGCCATGTAAGGATGTTGAAAAATAATAACTGGTACCTCTAATGTCACTATTATTTCTTAAAGAAACAAAATATTTTAATATAAAAAAAAGTAGGAAGAACACAATTTTAGAGTAGAGGATGTAGTCGGTTTTGTGGCCTTATACATACACACTGATACACATGTCTAAATTGTGCTTATCTTTCTTATTCTGTAGTCAGCCAGGAGAAACGTAGTCATGGTTGGGCACTGGCCTGGTGTTGACAAGTCCCGGATTCTTCTGGGAGGCCACCCAGACTTTAGAGATGTGTTAAGGGCCACTTAGTGTGTTCTCACTCTTTGCTTGTTGTTGTTTCTGAACAGAGCTCTCTCAGAAAAAATTGTCTCAGTCCTGCCAAGGATGAAATGCCCACACCAGCTGGAGCCCCACCAGATCCAGGGCATGGACTTTATTCACATATTTCCTGTTATTCAGGTAGGAGCTTCTCTCTGTGTGGTATCTTGTCCTCTGAACATCAGAATTGCTGTCATGGGTCCGGCTCCCAGGCCGTGTGGGCATGTATGGATTTGGTGGCAGCACAATATGATGGTGTCTCCTGATGTCATCCTCAAAAGGTTATAGTCCTCCACATACCCTGGTTTTACACTGCTATCTGTTACAATGATCTTTGAAAGTTCTCACCAGTGGGTTTTCATTGCCTTTTCGGTAAAGATAGAATTCGATAGCCCTGTGTGCTCTGGTCCCTTCCGACCTGTCCACTTCATTTTATTTCTACTTTTCTTTGTTCTTTCTATCCTAACCCCTCTGACCTCTTTTCAGATTTCCTCATTTTTGCTATGTTTCCTCCTGTCACAGGGCCTTTGCATATGCTGGTCCCTTGGGCTGGTATGTTTTTCCCTCCCCTCAATTTATATTCACCCTTTAAATCTCAGCTCCACTGAACCTTCTCAAGGAAGTCTTCCCCAGCCTCCTAATCTAGAATAGGTTCTTTTGCTATATCCACTCATAAGGGTACATTTTCACAGGAATCCTCACTGCAGTTTGTAACCATTTACATTAGTTTGTATGATTATCTGTTTCTCCCATCAGACTGTAAGCTTCATGAGGTCAGGCACTGTGGCTGTCTTATTCACTGTTGTATCTCCAGCACCTAGCAGAACATCTGGTACTTTGTAGATGCTCAGTACTTATCTAATGACTAAATATCTAATGGGAGACTAATCTCCGCCCCAGCTGTTTCCCAAGGCTCTATGATTAAGTGGCTCATGCTCAAAAAAAAAATAAAACTCGTTGCCGTCGAGTAGATTCCAACTGATAGCGACCCTATAGGACAGAGTAGAACTGCCTCATAGGGTTTCCAAGGAACAGCTAGTGGATTTGAACTGCTGACCGTTTGGTTAACAGCTGAGCTCTTAACCACTGCGCCACCGGGACTCTGACTCCTGCTCTACAGGCCCCTATATTCTGAGCAGTTCTTCTTGTGTCTTAGCTTCCCCTCCAGGCACCTTGAAAGGAAGAGGTGTAAAGAGACTTGCCTTTGTTGCCTCTGTGTGAACAGTACTTTGCATATAACTACTTCATCTGATCCTGAAAGAGTTCTTTGAGGCATCTCTTATAATTCCAAAAAGTCGGTCTCAGAGGAAGTGTCAATAATTTGCTTAAGGGCAGAGATCTAGTGAGTGGAGAAGCTGATGTGAGATTCTAAACTCCCAGTCTCCAAGCCCTGTGCTTTTTCCACCTACCATCCAGGCAGCCACTGAGAGGGAAGATAAGCAGCTCTTGCTAGAAGAGACTTCGACTTGTGTGTTAAGATTGTGTAGTGTAGGGATTAAGAGTATGGATGCTGGAGACTTCCTAGATTCAAATCTCAACTGTGTCACTTTTTAGCTGTGTTACCTTGGGCAAATGACTTAACTTCTCATCTGTTAAATGGAGGCAATAATAGTATCTACCTGAAGGGATGAAAATAAATGCATTAATGTGTGTAAAGCACTTAGAGGAAGGACTGCACGTTTTAGTAAGTGCTTCATAAGTGTTAGGTAGCTGTTTCTATTGTTGTTGTTGGGAGCTTTCCCCTGTACTAGGCTTAAGCCTAAACCATTCGATTAGTCCTAGGGACCTCAAGTGTCATGATGTTTGTAAATCTGAGGCTAAAACTTTAACTCAGCCTTTGGTTTGTATGTTTGTTAGACTGTCTGTCTCTCTGATTCAGGGGATAATACTTTTGCCTGATCCTTTTTTTGTGAAAATGAGAAGTAGGGACCCTGTGTTGATTATTATTAGAACCTCTAACACCATCATACTGTGAAACTGTTACCCATTTCCCTAAATCCTGGATCTCTAAGGATTAAACCTTATTCAACCCTACACAAGAATTTTAGGGACCGAAAACTCTAGTCGAAGGTAGAAAGGGATGCATGGGAAGAGTGATCTTCTGCAGTCGGTCTGGGCATTTTGAGCATCTGCAAATGTTCCACGTTGTGAGTAGAATGCTGGAGAGGTTCCTCTCTGGACATGTAGCTGAGTGAGAGCCTAGGCTATTAGGTACCCCATTTCTTAATTTCATGGACCTATACAATTTTAAAGCAGAGAGTGAGTGGTTGACGTAGGGTTGCCACCTATTTTGCTGGTTAAGGGCATTTTTTTAAGTAACTGCTGTCTTGCTTTTGCTATCATTTCCTAAAAGCAAATCCATTTAACCCCCAATCTTAGAATAAAGGAGTCCAGAGCTACGGCTGCTAACCAAAAGGTCGGCAGTTCAAGTCCACCAGGTGCTCCTTGGAAACCCTATGGGGCAGTTCTCCTCTGTCATGTAGGGTCGCTATGAGTCAGAATCAGCTCAGTGGCAATGAGTTTGGGTTTTTCTTTGTTTATTTGTTTTCTGTAAAAATGGCATGTGGATGTCAGACCTCCTACAACTTCAGGAGGAGGAGAAAGAATCAAGATCAGCATCAGCCCAAAGCTAACTTCTCTAAGATAGAGGACAGTCTTCCACTCTGCAATCTCCTACCACTTCTGACACCAGCCATCCCTCCCATGGTACTCTGCTTCTTTGCTAGGTGCATTCGTTTGTTACAGTGGCCACGCAGAACTCACAGACAATACTCACGACTATGAGGTTTATTAGGGAAGTTACAAGTACAACTCGGGGTCAGGATTAGCAGGCTACAACTCAGGATCAGGAATCATGTAGGCAAAGTCTGGAAGGCTCCCCCAAAGTGGAGAGCACATCCCTTCTTTCTTCATTGCGGGACAGCTCTCAGCTCCTTTTGGCCACGCAAGCAAGCAGACCCTTCTCTTAGCCGTGCATGCTTCCTCTCAACTGTGCAGGTCTCCTCTCAGCCCTCTCAAGGACAGGCTCCTCTCGGCCCCCTCAGGACAGGCTCCTCTCGGCCCCCTCAGGACAGGCTCCTGTCGCCCCCCTCAGGACAGGCTCCTCTCGGCCCCCTCAGAACAGGCTCCTCTCGGCCCCCTCAGCGTAGGCTCCTCTCGGCCCCCTCAGCGTAGGCTCCTCTCGGCCCCCTGAGGACAGGCTTCTCTCTGCCTCCTGAGGACAGGCTCCTCTCGGCCACCTCGGGACAGGCTTCTCTCGGCCCCCTCGGGACAGGCTTCCTCTCGGCCCCCTCGGGACAGGCTCCTCTCGGCCCCCTCGGGACAGGCCTCCTCTCGGCCCCCTCGGGACAGGCTCCTCTCGGCCCCCTCGGCACAGTCTCCTGTCGGCCCCCTCAGGACAGGCTCGTCTCGGCCCCCTGAGGACAGGCTCCTCTCGGTCCCCTGAGGACAGGCCTCCTCCCAGCCCTCTCAGGACAGGCTCCTCTCGGCCCCCTGAGGACAGGCCTCCT